CAAACACAGGGGCAAGAGAAAGCTCCTCAGTCCAAAGCCACGTGGCTTAACACCAAATTCACTAGCACTCAGCACTTTCTGCAGGAGAGCTGGAAGCAGGCCTCAAAACAGCATTCGTACACTTTGAAAAGCCAGAATCAGCAAGCCAAAGTGAACAAGCCAGAAAGGCAAATTACTCCAATTCACCACTTTCATTTTCAGTTCTTTCTCTTAATCTCAAAATAAATAAATTCTAAAGCACAAAAAAAGTTTTTTTGTGTGTCTGTCATAAACCAAATTAAACCTTTATTTACATAAAACTGCAACTTTTGCTTAGCTGAACAAAAACAGGATTGATCTAGATATAGGCTGATAGTTCTGGATTCGTCTATGCTTTATCTGATCATTCAAATTTCAAGAAGACTTTTTTACTTATAAAAATCTGTCAAATCCACGTTAGTCACATTTTTCAAGTTAGTCTCTAAAAGCTTAAACAAAAGCCAAAGGAATTTACCAAAAGTAAAGGAATATATTGAGTCAATAAATGACATAGAAGATACTATATAATTTTTTAACAGCATATTACCCCAATTCCAGTTTCTCTGAAAGCAGCCGTAGTTTGGCTCAGAGTTAATGCCCAGACTAACATTTTGACAGTGTATAGTCTGATTATAAGGCATCAGCTCAAACTGTTTCTGCTAACCCCTAAAAGAAAATTTAAAAAATTAAAAAAACATTTCACATGCCAAAGTTTATTTACAGATACACAGTGGCCATATGGCCCCACAGCCAATTATTTTAGAGAAATCATAACATGCCAACAGCACTGCAAATCCTGTGCCTCTGTTTACATAACCATTCAAGAAATACTACTCTTAACCTTGTAACGGTTTGATGTATTTTTGAAATGCAAGTCAATTTCATGGTAGAAGCCCAGGATGCCCTGAAACTTTAAACTTCAGATGACATAACCAAGGGGCAAAAATCACACACTGGGAAATAAAAAAAAATAACAAACTTGAGCCTAAATATCCTCTCTGTCTGCCAAAGCTAACATGTCCATCCTTTTAATGAAGACAAACGATGTGTTTAATTGTGCAAGACGATTGCCCTTTCCACCTGGCACGACGTACAAAACACAGCTGCCAAGCTAGCACGCATCCGAGCAATGGGCCTCTCTGTCTGCGAGCCACTGCTGCTGCCATGGCCACTCAGTGCTCCCCATTATTGCCACCCCAACTAGCCCTTCGTCTTACGAGTCCAACCACAATCACTCCCAACTCTGACGCCCTGCCAAAAAGCAGAACCACGTCGACTCTTGTTCACCCCAAAAAACTCACAAAACCATGACCAAGAACAGAAACCTTCATGGTTGCTGTCTGAGGTGCAATTGAGCATGTGATGGCATTACATCTGGGTTACTTGGCATGTGATGACGAGAGGACAGCGAGTAAGAGATGCTGAAGATGAGAGGGAGAAAATGCGAGAAAATAAAACGATCGACCTGGAAGATCGATCCATGAAGCATGTGAGGACAGGCAAAGTGGAAGTGTCCTCCAGCAGGTCTCTAGTCATTACTACCAAGTGACTCTAATCACTGTCATTAACAGCCACTTAACTGACACAGACCATAATATCTTGGTTGTTTTTGGTGTTTTCAACACACAGTGTGGCCAAAACCAGCAATCAGTGCATCCTGACCAAAGGCAAAAGAACAAATGAGCATTTTAGAGAAGATAGCTCAAGTTCCATCAATTACCACTGTAAAGAACGTAGTTGATTTATGGGGGCTCTTAGTTCTTTTAGTTTAAGTTTGTATTCAGTTGTGTTTTAGATTGGATTAAACAGTCATATAAGACAAATATTTGCATCATGATGCAGTGAAATGTGTCTGATAATGCAGATCCTAACATACAGCAGTAAGTCAGCTTTTCATGTGCTTCGTGGCTATTTTTGAATCAGTGGTTTGCAAATTTTGTCTACGTCATGTTCTTTTTTGAGAAGTGCATGTCTGTCTATTTGTGCTGAAAAACCCAGAGAGTGACACTGCCTGGAATATACACACCGAGTCCAGACAGCCGAACTGTGCTTCTTGTGTAACGGCAATTTAAAGTGAGAGCTTGGTGCACAATGCCAACAGTAAGTCACACTCATTTCTGGTATGTGTTGGACTCCAGTTCTCCAATTCTGTTCATAACGGTCATGGACAGAAATCGTAGTTGAGGCCAAGGGGCGGAGGGTATCCAGATCAATCAGCTTTGGGTTGCAATTTTGTTTTTTACAGATGATGTGATTCTGTTGGCTTTGTTGAACGGAAAATCAGCAGGGATGATTTGCAACAGTGTGAAGCAATCAGGATGAGAATTAGATGATAGAATGGTATGTCAGATGGCTTGGTAAAGACTCGGGGTGACCTCAGAGCTGGAGCAGGAGGAGGCTGGGGAGTGTCGGGTCTTGAGATCTCTGCTAAGAGTGTTGCCCTTGCAACAGGTTGTCTGTGATATTCAGAGTAAATGAAAAGATTAACTGACAAATCAACCGTGTAGAGCTTATTGCAAGATAAAGAGCTTGCTCTGACTTGCTACTTTCAGCAACAATTGTTTTTCATATGTATGGAAGCAATATATGGATTAAATGGGCTCAAACTGTTTCAATTAAATGCTCATTCTGTTTGTGTTAAGCGCCATTTTAGCACATTTAATGATCTCAGCCTGAACTATTGCCTCCTCGTTGTCACAAACCCAAAAAGGGACACTTCAAACAAGGGTTTGAAAATGATTAAGCTTCATACATCATAACTGGCTACCTCTTTGCCATTAAAGATGTGACATATTTTCAGCATTCAGGGAAAAATGTTTAAGGCCAAAAAGACTTATGGATATAGCTCAGGCTGGATTTATGAGCGACTTTTGTGTTTGTCTTCACAGTTTTATTCACTCAGTGCTGTTACACATACTCACATGCTTTACTCCGCCTTGGCAGCCAGCATTTCAGCCATCGGAACCCCCACATATTTTGAATCAGGAACTTCTCAACGCAGTAGGCTTAATATCTGTTTATAGATGCTGACATTACTGAAGCTCTACAGAACATTCATGCCATGACTAAATGAATATGGGTTAAATCACAAAGGCATGTTAGGCCTTAGTTGTACAAGATAGTTCTATTCCATTGTAGTGGCTTCCACTGAGACTGCCAGGAAAAACACTTTTCTTCACAGAGAACAATTCTTCCAAGTCTGTCTTTGGGGATAGGGTGAAGGGTGCTAGGAAGGTCAGTCTTATTGCCCACTGACTGACCCTGGCACAAAGCAATGAAAGTTAAACAGAAGAAGAGGAATAAACTTTGGAGTTTGAGATCTTCCTACTGTGTTTTTTGGCTAATTAAGCTGCCTCTCTGTTGGGTTACAGTCAAGATTGATATTGAGCCTTGAGCCAACATATAACATATAGAGGAGATACAGGCACAGAGACGGAAACCAGCTGAGAAATGTGAAACAAAACACCAGTTTGGCTCCTAATCTTGTAGTACCATAGATATAAAATATGGTTGAGTTTTTAAGCTAAATCATTTCATGGAATACTTCTTATCTGCACCAAATTAATTATCACATTCATGCTAAACACATTTACAGTTTCTTTTCAAAAAGAGAAAAAAATGTCTTTGCATTGTCACAACCAATGCACCACTCTTTTACAGGCAAATGTTTTGCAGCCTGTGTCCCTCTCGTGAAACCTGAGCTATGAGTACGGGTCTTTTATGATACTGGTTAAAAATCACAACCAGCTAGCTTATTTTAGGCCAGTTAATCATAAAGTGTTGGTGTGAGCTAAAATCTAAAAGTTGTAAAGACAGTAGTTTGAGGTTTTATAGTACATTACCATAAGAATGCAACTTTTAAATTCTTGACTCCGTCAATGACTTTTCTATAATGTCTTCATTTGGGATCATGTGAAAAAGCATACAAATTTGACACTTACAGAGACAGTATAAGGCATAATATTAACACAACATTTACAGAGGAAATAAGAATTTCTCAGAAGACTGTTCCAGATGGATACATTATCCTCCGCTGTAACCAAGAATAAATTGTCACTTAAGCTCTCATAAACCTCTTTGTGAGGGCGAGTTAAAGCAGATATATCATCTCAAACGTAATGTAATTTAAAATAGTGGTGAAAGTCTGTTGAAAACCGTTCAATTTTCAGTATTTTAAGGACAAAGGCATCCGATACTGAAGCGTGAAAACTTATGAAAGGCGTGAAACCTTTACCAGCAGTGTGGAGGCCATATTTCTGGAGTTAATGCACACAAACCAGAACAACCCCAGAGCAGCCGGCTCAATAACAAAATGTACTTCCAGCAATTTATAAGGAGAAACATTAAACTTCAGCTCTTTTGCTAGCGTGCTGTTATTGATAATATAACTCTCTTCAAAAGCCTCTGATCAATCTGAAGATATTTGTCTGAAAACTGAGCTGGGACCCTTTTCCTGACACAGATACGTGACTGTTTTACATCAATATGTGAGACAACAGCAGCTCCGCACTCCCTAACAGTCAGTCTGATAAACAGATGGGTGAGACACTGGTTAGGGAGAGCTGCCATGGCAAGATTCATGTCTTTTCAAAGGTGACGATAAGGTGGGAGGAAAGTGATGAAAAAAAGGCGCCCCACCCTCTGACATGCCATGAGTGTCAAATCTGTGTTTGTGTGCGTTACCCTGTTTCGCATATAGCCCAGTCCGCCTGCATACAGCCTTCACCTCCTCTCCATACAACCCACCATCATTATTCATTTGCATTCATTAATGAGGTGCAACACAGCTTATATCTCTCGGCTCTGGCGTGGCCAGCTGCATAAACAGATTGTAAATGATTTATTGGCTGATTTGATTTTTATCTGACACATTTGAAAAAATCTATGTTCTATAGAACCTAAAAACAAGTCTGAGATCTGAAGTTGGGCTTCGGCCTTACTATAACACAGCTAAGTCTGGCTTTTTTCTATGAAGAACTTACCAGATCTTCTGGTTTTTGGCTCACATCATGGAAAGGCTCTTCAGGAAGGTGATCTCGTCGGATCAGTGTGAATTCCCTTATAAACACTGCATCCCCATCGTTGGCCCACACAGCAATCTGACAGACAAAGACAAAGACAGAAAAAGACTCAACAACTAAACATAGGTGACAGACAACTTTCACATATTTTAGTATCATGCTTTTTTGTGTGTCCCTCTTTGTTATATACTATACAAGTAAGAGTGTGCAGGGGTGAATTCAGGCCAACATGTTTATATCAGTCTGCATCAGTCTCCTTAGTCTCCTTAGACACAGCATTTACTGCCTCAGCCTACTGCTACAGTCCAGCAGTGGTCTGCCATTTTGGCCATAGCAGATCAGGCCATTAATCTCACATCAGTGGCTGGGGGACTTGCATTTTTTAACGATTAAACTGCTATAAATGTAACATTTTTAAAATTCATTTTTCATATTTCATAGCCAATCCAGTTTTTTACTTCTAGGTTCTGTGGTATCTAAAACTATTTGGTCTTCAGTGGTAGGACAGGGCACTGCCCCTGAGAGATCTGGCTTACTTTTTTCTTAGTTGATACTTTAAGAAGTTGGGTCCTCTTGTAAACCTATGCAGCCTAATTTAAGACACGAAAAAGGTATCTTTTTTCACATTGTAAAAAAGGTATTTTGCACAAGTATTTTTTTCTGCAGTCAGAAATCTCTTCATTTGGATAATTTGGAGACAATGGAAAATAAAAAAGGAAGAAACAGTGTATTCCTAATAACATTGATGTTCAAATCTAATTAAGTAGACGTGATTTACTGTATGATAAAACTAAATGTTTTCAAAGAAAAAAGGATCTTATATCACATTGTCTTCACGGGAGGTTGGTGAGGGGGAGTAAGGGGAATCTTGGATAGGGCCCATTAGCAGCACAGCAGGGCCCGCATTCTTGTGGATGCACAAATTCATAGTGCAGGGTCCCAGAGCTGCTTTCTGTGGGTCATAAACACCCTGTAATGAACTGGGTCAACTGCCTGCCTCCTGGGCATGTGCCAAAGCTGCGCAAAACAGAGAAGGAAATGTGGGTTCGGGGCACTTTTTCACATTATATGGGTGTTGTAGGGTGAAAATAAAGTGGTGCTAAGCAACTGAAGTAAAACCTAACCCATCCTTCTGTGGGAAAGATGCCTGGAATGGACTCATATAAGACAAATTAAATCCAGTTTAAAGCCTTACAATCAGCACTGCTTAGCTGGAGTCACTTAGCCTGTATTGGCTTATAGAACAATATGCAAGTCTGCGCAATGTTGGCAATGGCATCCTTGAAGAGGCAGATGTGGCAGCTGCTGGGCCACAAGCAACAGTTTCCTCGTCTTTTTTTAAAGATGAACAAAAGAAAAAGTACACGTGGGGTCTGCCAGTCAGGAATGACATGAATCAGTGTGAAGACTCATCTAATACTTGTGAGAAAGCGGGAAAGTGCACAGCTGGAAATATAATAGGTCAAACCTTCCTCAAAATAACGTGCACAAGTGAATTAGGTGCACTTACCAGGGAAAGGTACATAAATGATATGAGAAACCTTTATCAAAATATGACCCCTCTGCCTGAGTATAGTCTATGAATATACATATATGACAGGCTTTGCAGTGAAGTGAAAACGAAAATAATGCATGTTGTACTAAAGTGAAAATAATGCATGTTGTACTAAAGTGAAAATAAAAATAATGCTTGAGGTAGGAGAAAGCAAATAGAAGTCAAGCATGCAAATATTAAGGAAGGTTTGCTGGTGTGTTACCTAAAATGTTCTGTAAACAACTTTAATGAGCAGATGTCCTTGCTCATGGCAACAACAAGGCCTGGGTAAAATTAGCATGCTATGTGTTTTTTTTCCACCCCCACATCAGAAGTCATTTTCACCAACACTTTTATTGACTTCAAGTAACATGTGATACATCTAATTGGCATTCTCTTGTCAATTTGGAATCTGCATCAATCCTCATTAAAATGCTAAGTGCTGCACTGACCAATTCTGTGTGGCAGCTAAGCTCTACTTTGCTTGGATCCTAAAATCTATAAAACTAATTTCCTTTAAAAAAAAAAAAAAAAGCGAGCTGTCCAGTGCCAATTTCACACAGCCTGTATCATATGTATCATATTCATCATATGTTGTTCTTTAGATAATGAAATCCTTTAAATATTTCAACAATTGGCAACATGTTCACTGGTTAATTTTCTTGACCCCACAGCATTTTTACAGGAAAGGCTCATGTCCATCTTTCTTTCTGAAAACATCGAATCCCCCTTTTTAACCTAGGAAACTCACTGTTAGTCATCATTTTATTAAATAATAATATACGAGTGCATCAAAAATCAAATCTTAGTTTTGTTGCCAAAACAAAACACTGTAGGAGAACTGTATGTAACTTTCTAAGTCTACACTTGCATTTAGTGTGTTGCTGAATTAACAGAGTAACTCTGTGTGGCATTACATTTTTAGCAAACTAAACTTTTCCGAACTAAAATGATGTCCTTGAAAAGTTGATTGCTTTTTAACATTGGATGTCTTTTCCTGTTAGAGCTTTTCACATTTATGTGGCAATATTTCAATTCACTTTTTCAGATTTGACGATAACACGCAGTTTGTAGGAACTGAATTAAATTGGCATCGCTGCCTAAAAACTACACAATAGGATCTGATACTGTGTGGATGTGTGCATTGGTACCACTGAGGGACGGGGTAATGGTTAAACAGGGCAGTCTAGTGATTCATTAACCTTAAAGGCGAATTAGATTTCAAAGAAAACTTCTGCACCCATAAACAAGAGAGGACGTGAACTCAGAAGAACTGTAATAACAGACAATCTAATATTATAACTGAGCTTGCCTATGACATAGTGCCAGCTTCCACTGTTAGAAAGAGTGACTTGTGCCATGCGACACTAATCCAAAACCTTGTGTTTCCCCCCCAGTGCTGCCTTTGATTAGTAAGGCCATCCAGTGTTTGGACAATGACACCCCTTTCTCAGCACCGGCTCCTGTCTCAATGAAACAGAAGAGGAAAATATATTTTTGGTAATCCAATTTTGGTAGGATTTAAGTGAGCTTTCACTTAACACGTTTTGAAGGAGGAAACACTGCGGCCTTCTTTTCCTTTCCTCCTCTGCTGGTTCAGAGCCTCAGCACAACTCAAAAAACACCTGACAATGTTTGATACAGGAAAAAGTGTTTTACTAAAAAAAATAACGTAGGTTTTCATCACATTCTTATATTTTTGATGGATTATTTAGCTATCTAAAGTTCTTCCTCTGGCAGCCTTTGAAGATATACCAGCACCCTAATTGTCTGTGCCAGATATCTTTCAACTTGATTTACTACTCTGACTGCCAAGAGCAGTCTGTCCTGCGAACATACAGAGAAGAGTGGCAAGGAACGCAGCTTGTCTGTGTTGCTGCAATCTTTGACTCCCACCATTTCTCATCTGGAACAGTGCTAAAACTGAGAAGGCTCAGGGGAGGGGAAAAAGTCCACCTCTGAAAGATGAACATTTTTCCTGGCGCTGTCATCGCATCCCTTTGCGTTCATGCTCTGTTTCTCCTGTGTTGTAATGCCTCATAATGATGCGTGGCACCTGTAAATGATGCATGAGCATTTTAAAGTCCTCACGAGGCAACACGTTTACTTTCATTTTGATGCGTTTCACAGTGAAACCGGATTGAACGTAACTCTGACAAAGATCAATTAAGTGAAATCTAAATAGTAAAGGAAAGCACTGTATGTTTATGTTTATAGCCACACATAGATATACATACATATACATAAAAAGGTGTAAAATTAGGGACCAAATTTAGCTCATATCCAAGTTTAAACCAGGTCTGCAGCTAAGATGGACGGTGAATTTTAATGAAGTTCTTCATGAAGAGTAGATGAATAATATGCTAACCCTTAAATAATAATGTGATCAAGATATTTAGAATTTTAACAACTTTAACTAAACATGCTACTAGGCTCACAGCATGCTAAGGTGTACATAACATAAAATTTGACACCGCATCCAGATGGTCTTTACACTCACAGAGGTATGCACCTATTCAGCCAGTTCATGTTGTTATTTAGTTAACGGAATGAAAACATGAATTGCTGTCAGGTATTACAACCTGTCAGCAAAGTGTCTACTCTGACAAATGTCGGCTTTAGAGGCTGTATAATGCCGGACAAGATAATTGTAACGCTCAAACTTGAAGAATTGTTGAATGATCTCCAGTCCACCATCTTCTGTGCTGCACATCAACTTTCTGAATGTTTTCTCAGTTTTATGTTCTTATTAATCTAAAGCAAAGGCATACGCTTCTGTATTCAATACAGTGTTGATGTAATTTCCCTTGGGCGATGAAAATAATCATTGAATTGAACTGAACATTTCAGCACAGCCACAAATCACCTTTATGCTTTGCAATCTAATAACACATCAGTGCCCTGCTTGTGTTCTGCTACATACTTGCAGAAATAGTGCGCATTTCCACAGTTCATACAAACATGTTGGACATAATAAAACATTTTTCTTTGTTTAGCTAATGAAACCACACTAAAGTACAGAAATAAGCACAATGCCTGAACTACATGACAGACTCAGTCATGTACCATAAGATATTGTTTCATCAACTGCGGGGTTTTATTTTGTTTTGCAAATTTTTAACATGAAGCAATCAACAAAGATTTGCTTGCTAATCAAAAAGCCAAAAAGAAAACCTTAAGGGAGAAACATAACACTTATGCTAAATGCATAAACTGCTATATCTTTCTCACAATTTCTCAATATATATATACATATATACACACACACACACACACACACACACACACATATAAAATATTTACATGTCCACAAATGAAAATTGTTAGCTCACACAGACAAAAAGACATTCAAAAGAAACCTCTATGACATGGTACACAGAAAAAGCACAGTGACCATATTGATTTACATCTACATAAGTTCACTCGGTGGACATGTCTCTGGGGAATCTAGCGGAGTGGGAGGAAATCCACATGCATCTGACAGCCTAAATTTGATTTCAGACAGCATGGTTACATGCACTGTTGAGCCAAGCTATGGTTACAGCTCAAGTGGAGCATTTAATTAGACCACCATCTTTATAACTGTTTCAACTTTATGTGCATGGGAGCAGAATCAAGTTTTTATATGAAGTATGCCCAACACCACATTTCTGTGGACCGTATGAGAAAACAATCAAGACATTCTGCATCTTGTAACTTTTGCTGTGGGGGATCGTCATACTAATCTTCCGCTTATTATTCAGTTACAAATTTCCTTCCACCTCACATCTTAACATGTGTTGCAATGACCATAAAAACTGTTTAATTTTTAATTATACACTTAGGTCTTTAAGTTAATTTTGTTAAAAGACAAAGTTTGACTATAAGAGGGCTGATATTTATGCATAATTACGGACATGTCCTGATAGCTTTATTATGCATTGTCTGCCACAGTTCAATGTTCTTATACACTGAAGTGTTTTTTTTAAAGACTGACCTTAAAAGGATATGCAGAGTGCCAACATTGATTCAAACCCCACCTGCATAACCTGCATATTTTAGTTAAGACCCAAATGCCAAAGTGCTCCTATATGGTCATTGCTGGGACAAGAAAAGTGTCATCAAGACATCAGAAAGACGATACAATTGACCAATGATGTTTGTCGGTGGTGTTTTATATGCTGATGAGGTACACAGTGCTCGTATATGGTCACCGCTGGGACAAGAAAAGTGTCATCAAGACGTCAGAAAAATAACACTATTGACCAATGACATTTGTCGATGGTGCTTTGACACACCTTATAAACTTGAGAAAGAGAGCACCGGAGGTATCAACATCCTTAATAAACTGAAGACTTTGACCATTGAACACTTGTGTTCGCACAGAACAGTTACACCACTTCATCAGCTGCATGACAGATTGTGTAGTCCAGTTTAAACCCCGGGCACAACCGAATCTAACAGGAAACTTGAATGTGGAAAATGTACTTGTTTTAGTTAAAAGCCATGACTGGGAAATTGACCATATCCCCTGAACATGACAGCCTTCCATCTGTCCAGCGCAGGAGCAGACATGCAGAGGACGCCTGCGGAGGACTGCACGGGAGGAAGAGGAGCTCCAAAGACTTTTACCCTCCACTGATGGCCTTTATAAGAGACAGGCTGCACATCAGGATGAAGTCAATGGAAACAAGTGCGCAGATGATTGAAGAAGAAAACATTTTGGACAATTATAAAGAACTTGAGAAGAATGAGTTTGCTTTGATGGTCTGGGAGTTAATGAATGGGACAAAAGAGGTGAGAGCTACACTTTGACACCTTACTTACTTTACCTGTAATTAATACAACACAACTGACAAAATGAAATAATGTCAGAAACTTATAGGCCATAGGCTGAAGCCTGTATCGTTAAGTTTCGCTCCACTTATTGAGGGACTACTAAATGACACCTGCAAAAAAATCCTTAGTGCATTTTGAGCTCATAACCAAAAGTTCTCCAATCGCTTTGCGCCAGTATTTTTACAATAATTACTTAAAAATGTAACTATATCGGTAGCCTGATCACACCGGTAAAATACGGTCGAATCAAGCCGCCTAGCCGTCAGCCAATCAGAGCGCGTCCTTCAGGTGCGCTCTCCCATTCAGAGGCGAGAACAGAAGAACAACAACAAACATGGCTGCTCCCGTGGAACTGCGCATTTCCGTTGATCAGACAAAAAACGCAAGAAAAATGAGGATTATATATGCATCACACACATATAATCGGTAGACAAAGAACGAACACAGCCACTAACAGTTGTTCGTGGAAGAAGCTGGTCGTATGTGCCCGTAAGTGTATGGACGGAATTGACCGCACGTTGGCGGAGGGACACAAGGCAAAGAAAGGTAAATTGGTCCAAGCAGAAACTATAAATGCTGGCGATTAGATAATTTGCAGACAGCATCTTTGTTTGTGGCTTATAATCAAAAGCTAAAGTAATACATTTGTTGATAAGAAAAATGCATGTGTAATTGTTGCCAGCCCAAGCCTGCTCTCATCATTATGAAGTAGGTGTATGAAGGCTATGTGTAGGGCCTCAATAATAATAAAAGGCATTATTATGAACTTGAAGTGATGATAGGCAATTAATTGATTCGTCAAATAATGGTTAGATTTTTAAATTTGTCACCCAACTACCAGTTCAGTCTGGTAAAACAGAGAAAATGTATTTGATATTATTTGTTGGCAGCTGGTTTATGATTGAACTTTAACTCTCTCTTTGCTAGGGAGTTTGGTTAAAGCAGCTGAAGTGAAAATGGGCGAATCCATCCTCAAGGATGTACGTGGAAAAGATTGTGTCGCAATTGAAGTCCGGTAGCACAAACGGTTCTACAACGAAAGTTCAATTCAATTCAATTTTATGTATATTGATACTAATGATAATGATAGGAGTTATGACAGAAATAACACTATGCAGAGTAGTAGCAGAGCAGGAACACGGAGCAGCAGGAAACTCCCAACCACAGATCCAGACTCCACAGCTCTAGGAACACCTGCAGGAAGTGATAGGAGGAGACTCCTATCCCTCCTATGATTTTGATGATTAATAGTTTCTTCGTATTTTCTATTGTAATTCTCAAGTCGTAACAACCCGAAGTGATCCTAAAAAGTTTAACATCTTAAGGCTTGCTGGGTCCAACAAAAGTAATTGTTTAAAAACAGAAATGTCTTTGTGCCTTCTTTAATTCCCTGTACATTTCCATATTAAGTCTTGCCTCAGAGGAGTGAATTCACAACCCACGGGTTAGCTGATTGAAACCATTTCATTTCTGAAAACCAATTTGAATATTTGTCCATAGTTAACTGAAGTTTGTAGTAAATGTAAAAAAAAACAATCTTGTAACTTATAAATAAGAGTTCATTTTTTTAATGTTGTGATATTAATACTTTCCATTGTTCTCATAAATAATCAATAATTATGATTATTATTCTTCCTATTGTTATGAGGCATCTGAAAAGTTTACCCCTTTTCAAAATCATGTTATCATTGCTATTGCCATTTGTCAATAGTTACTGAGTGGAGATTTATAAATGGTTAGAATCGGTCTTTATAATTATATATGTACATGTATAAAATTTGGGAGATATCAACTTTGGCATGCTTAGTGCTTGGTAGAATTGTTCAAAAGTAATTGAAAAATTATATGTAGGCTTCTTATTCTCTTTCAGTTTTTCTGAAGATGATTAATTCTCTCTGTAAATATTCATAAATGTTGCAACAAACAGAAGAAGTAACTCTTGTTGGTGTGGGAATGGAGTGGTGGTGGTGGGGGGGGGGGGTTGTTACTATTATTTTTGTTATTATTTGTTCATTAATTCCATGATTGCTTAAGTTGATATCAGATCCATTGAATAAACAGTATATATTTACTTGAAGATTCTTCTAGTTTTTATAGTTATTTCCGAAAATTTTGCTTCCAATATTGTAACTGGTCTGCTAGGTGATAAAATTCACACCACTTTAAATAGTTTTTAATTAACCAGACACAAGGGATATCTTTCTATTAGAGTTTTTCAATTTAAAATTCAAAGAATTGCAGTTTTCATGTGCAATAAATATATATTTTGGGAAATTGTGAAATTGTTCAAAAGTGTATGTTTTAATTTAGAATAACTTCTTACTTAAAGCACGCAGAACATTGCCGCTTTAGAAGCTCTGAGTAAGTATGAATGTCTGTGGGAATCAAAAATTTGAGTACAATCGCATTAATAATAAAAAAGTTACGAGGGTTTGAAAATGGTAGAAGACCCAAAATCGGCACTTTTTTGGGTAAACTGCCACTTTGGCACCCATTTTCTCAAATACTGGCAGGAATCCCATGGATAACTTTTTTTCCCAGCTCCAGTACATATTCAAGATTGGAAAAGTGCTATCAAAAGTAGTCCCCAGGTTAGTGGAGCAAAATCCTATTTCTAGCCACATTTTGAGCTTCAGCCTATGGCCTATATTGTAACTGGTTTGCTAGGTGATAAAATTTACACCACTTTTCATAGTTATTAGTTAACCAGACACAAAGGGATATCTTGCAATTAGAATTTTTCAATTGAAAATTCAAATAATTGCAATTTTCATGTGCAATAAAGATACATTTTGGGAGATTGTGAAGTTGTTCAAAAGTGTATGTTTTCATTTAGAATAACTCCGTACTTAAAGCACGCAGAACATTGCCGCTTTAGAAGCTCAGAGTAAGTATGAATGTCTGTGGGAATTAAAAATTTGAGTACGATCGGCTTAATAATAAAAAAGTTACAAGGGTTTGAAAATGGTAGAAGACCCAAAATCGTCACTTTTTTGGGTAAACTGCCACCTTTGGCACCCATTTTCTCAAATACTGGCAGGAATCCCACGGAGAACTTTTTTTCCCAGCTCCAGTACATATTCAAGATTGGAAAAGTGCTATCGAAAAGTAGTCCCCAGGATAGTGGAGCGAAATCCTATTTCTAGCCACATTTTGAGCTTCAGCCTATGGCCTATTACACTTACTTTTATTTAATGCAGTATGATATGGACTAAATCAATGTACCTATTTGGTTTGCTTAGAAAGCTGGCCTCTCTGTTTAAAGCTGTTTGAGCTATTGTTCTATTCTCAAATACATAAAGACTCAGGCGGGGGTAATGATGTATGTATTTGTGTGAGAGTTTATCTTTTTGTAAAAGCAGAACAATAAATCGGTAACAGGCCCCGGATTATCAAAACAGACGTAAGCAGGTCATGCACAAACGCAAAGGTGACGTAGAACTGTAAACCTTATCGCTTCCACACTAGAAGCTGGACTTGAACCTGCCATATATGCTGCAACAATTTCAGCAAAATGTAGACACACAAACTGACCCACGAGAAGTAAAAGTAACTGTGCTGATGTTTTCCTCACATGTCGTCTCAGGTGTTTGATTCATCATCAGTCATGAGGGCTTCAGCGGGACATCCCGCAGACTCACACTGCCAAGCTGACTGCTGCTCATATCTACGAACACAACAACTTGTTGATCTCCACCGTTCGTCTGGTTCTGGTTTATGAGGCAACAGTCACCCAGAGCTCCTTTCTGTAGCAACCTGTCCCAGCCTTCAAGAAAGATGCAAGTCCAAAGGCAAAATCTCTCCCACATGTTCTTGATCTGCTACAGGCTTGGCCCTTTTTGGACATGCCAGACTCATCTCACTCATAAAGAATTAAGAAGGCATCAGAGACACCACAACAGCTCCTTTATGAGGAACAGTGATTCAGACCCCTCTGGAATAAGTGAGCCTTTGAACAAAAACGAGCCAAATCCGCCTTACACAACCTGTAAATATGACATGATAAGGCAATTTTCCAGACCTGCATTGTACAAAATGGAAGCTGAACCCCAGCTCTGGATTCATCTGCTGTATATTGTAGAGATTAAAGAAAAGATCACATAAACACAAATGGACAGTCATTTTCTGCTTACAGGAAATTGAATATAGGGGAACATAAGACTCTTAGGTAGGCTGCGCAGACATGTTCCAACACTGACTACGAGTAATTTTTCTTGTGTCTGAGGTCCACAAACTGCTTCTTGTTCATCTGCAAAAGTCAACAGCGCAGCTCATCTGAAGAGACCCTCATCCATCACTTCATTCAACAGTTGTCACCAGGCATTTGTCTCCAAACATCCACTGGAGTTTACAAGAGTCATTTCTCACTGCAAAATATCCAACTGCAACACAAACACAGACCAAATACTGTAATGCTCACACCGGCTGTGCCTTTACTATAAATCAGAACGTTTCACTCCTCAACCTAGATGCAACCTGAGCACCTGACCAATCCACTGAACAACATCAGTGAGCAGCATATTTCTGGTTAAGTGAAAAAGCTTGGTATACCTGTTGCCCATGTGACAGGCTTCACCGGTTGCTGCGTTCTGCTACGGTGATGATCTCATTTTGTTGTGGGAAAACCTGATTCAGGTAACTCTTATCTTGCCGTGTAGTCATTGCATATCGAGCTGCCGAATGCAGCACTGACGTCTTTAGCCAGAAGGAAGGCGTCAAATGCAAAAGTTAATTTGATCGCTCCACCAGACCTTTTGTTTCCTCTGTTCATAAAAATGATTCTGGACGATTCTCCCTCATAGTCATAAAGGAACTCTGCACCTCTCAGCAGCAGTGGTGGGGGTGTTGATTTGACAGGGAAAATCAGCAGAGAAGGTAGATCCTCTTCAGCTGCTGGGGGAAAGCACAGGGGCAAAGCAAAGTAAAAAGTAAAACCTCACTTCTGATTTAATGTTTATAGACCTCCTTGGAGACGTGGTTATGTCGATGTAGATACTAAATCTGCCTGGAAGAACATAAATAACTTCAGATTGACAAGTCCGCAATGAAGCAGAGGGAAAACATTAAACCAATCATCAAAGAGGCCAAGGACTTCAATGAATCAACAAATAGATTACAGAATTTTAAAAAGCTTTCATATGTATTTTGACCATGCATTCATACTTAATAAAGTTTTCTATTGTGTTTTTAAAAATCTTGAGATGAATAATCATTTGAGGTAAATGGTTTGGAGTGAATTGCACCCGAGAATGGAGGAATTCAAAGATCTCTGGGTATAGCTCGCATCTATAACCAGGAGCTGTTGGGTGTGACTCAGGGTGAGATTGCAAATTCAAATGGCAGGATTTAACTGGTTGAGCCGGTTCAGTAATTTCGTAAGTAAACCCTCGGATTATCTTGCAGAGCATTTGAGCCTCCAAGAGGAACCTCCTCAGATTTATGCTTTCAAAATCAGCCTGTTCAAATTATGTGTGTTAGTTTCTAGACTGCCGTGTGTCTATGGGTGAAAACAGCTAAGGGGATGGTAAAGCACTTGACTTTACACACAGACAGAAAATGAATTAAAAATCAAAAATATTCTACATTATGATTTAAACAAACATTCCTCTGAAGATTTCTCGGCAGTTGAACTTTTCTGGACCATCTAATGAGTTCATAGCTCTGCTTTCAGACGTATACGAATACCATTTGTGTCTTTCATCATTTCTCTCTAAAAAACAAAATAGCCACATGTTTTGTTTTTTTTACCTATAACCTCATGACGGATGGTTTGACAAATTTTACAGTTCAGTCCACCGTGGAGCACAGATGGTACAATTACGTAAGAGTGTGAAACTGAAATAAGAATAGGTAGACAAACTATGATCAAGTCATGTTCTCACAGCAGGGGGTGCACTGAAAATCATCCGTCTTATGCTCCATGGTTTTAATGGCTTTCAGCAAAAGAAAAAAAAAAAACAGATTGTCCAAATCTATCACGAAGCTTCCCGCTGAGAGGAGCATTTCGATGTTATGAGTTACAGTTTAAGGAAAAGATAAGTGGTCCGTGTGGACACAGATGCAATTACACCATTATCCAGACAGAATCTGAAATTCCAAAAATGGAAGTACAGAATTCATATCTTCGGCCTGTTTACTGCATTTACACACATATTGAGTGATAAATGCAGCTGATGAAAAGAAACATCCCTACGCTGCGGAGTGCACAACAGCTGTTGGACACCTCTCGCTCACAGCCTCTCAGCGGGCTGGTCAATTCAACGGCGCATCTGAATATCCGCTCTGAGGTGTTAACAAGCCGTGACGCAGACTTTTATCAGTGATGAAGCTGTGTGTGAGGGTAAGTCTGTAAACACGAGGCAGCCTGCCATGACCAAAGCAACTTAAGGGAGATGGATGGCACAGTAGTGTGTTTGAGAGAGCCATGACTAAGTAGTGGATTTAAGCTCATGGTTTCATTCAAAAATATGAAGTACGCCCCACACACACACGCACAAACACAACCATCTGTCCTCCTTCATCATATCAGTTCGTGGGAGGATTACAATAGACAGCTGGATGGCACAATTACAACACAATGTTCTGCACATAGCAGGCCAACGAGTTCACCATTTAGTGCGTGTGTGAGGCTGCAAGACTGATTTAAAACACAAGGGCTATTTCACACATAAAGGTGACTGTCACTAGATGATTGATGATAACTGTTTAAATGGGCTGTTGTGTTGGCGCCCCAGAAAGTCTCTTTACTTTCCACTCAAGTCTCAGTCTTCAGCTGCTCACAAGGAAAAGGATCGCTTTCACTAAAGAACCGACGTTGAACTTTGTCAGCATTTTCTAAAAAAAATCTCATTTAGGACTCAATATGAAACAGTCATATCAAGTTATTATGAGCAGGGAAGTATGTGTTCGTTTAGGTCAAATAAAAACGTAAGTATAAATATTGACACGTGATACACATGATACTGATAAGATTTTTACAAATATGCAAGAAGAATTTATCTTAAACCAAAGTTTCAGGATAAATTAAAGACAGACCTGTGGATCGATTAAATAGTTTATACTAATCTGTGAGCTCAGACGCTTGTGATGATAGAGTGGCACAAACAAAAAGAGAGCCTTTAAAAAATATGTGATAATGAATGGAAAAAATAAAACAAGGAGCCAAAAATTAAGTAGCAGTGATCAAAAGTTATCTTAATTTATTCATCACTTAGCCTAATCTGTCATTGTAAACTCGGCAACACTGTCACTGGCAACACCCCAAAATGTAGATCTCACCATGAAATGGTTGCAAGCAGTCCATGCCAGACCTCCCAGAAGACCAGTCCAGTTATAGCTGTTTTCTTTGTAACGGACAAAGAACAAAGCTGGCAAGCTGCTGACCCAAACTGTGACGAACATCACTAAGTTCTAAATTTATTAAACCATCGGGGTGTTCAGCCAGGTGCTGCAAAGCTTTTTCTGTCGTAGTAAAATAAGAGCAAGTGAAAAATTGAAATCTGTGAAGACCCTGGCCTTACACCACAGCACAAGCCAACAAATTTGTTCCACAGAGTTTCCGAAACTGTTTTCATCGACATCAACATGCACTATGAAAGCTCTGGCCTTCTCCAAAGCCCCGTCTGCGGTTAGCACTGACTTACTGTTACATTCCTGCTTCCAAATTAAGCCCCTCATTTGTGGATACGCGCAACCATCTAACAATGTTAATTTCCATATTTTGTGGCATTCTCTAGCCCTGATCTCATCCGGCTGGCCGTGAGTCAAATAATGAAATGCTGCTCAGTCTGCAGGTTTGCATCTTTAGGTACTCAGCGGCATAATCCACCCTCCATTCAATTGTGAACAACGTTGTTGGAAGCCAGCTGCACACTGGGCACAACGTGGAAAGAATTTTGGATGTTTAGCAGCAAGCTAAGCTTTCTGCCAGTCACTAAACTTCTTCTCAGTTGCTTTTCCCTTGGAGTGTGAATGGTGGTGGTCACATCCTTCATCAGTCAGGAGCTCTAGCCACAGTTGCACTGTATCAAATGATAAGAAAGGAATGGTGTAGTTTACTCTGAAGTATTTTTTATGGATTATAGACTCTATTCTAAACACTGAATTATAGCCCATGTAAACTTTCTTTTCTTTTGAGTTTATTGCATTGTGTGTCCCTCTCCCTGTTTAATGAGACACTGAGGATTAATCTAAGATCCTGATCATTTTGGATTTTGAATTAGTAATTCGATTTTTTTGTGGCATAGAGAGAAATCTGATTCATGGCGGAGGCTCCACTATACTAAATGTATTTACAGTCCTTCACTTTATGCACGGCTGAGTTGTCATTTCACACAAAGCTATTAATAATATGAATAATATGATAGCTGTAGCTTTATCCAACTCAGATCCCCTGAAGCCTGAACTGACATCGATGAAATGATCCTGTCAGGCTTTAGTCGACTGAGATGCTTTTGGACGCAAATGCAATTTTAGTGGACTGAATAGTTTGGAGGCATACACGTTGGATGGAAATTTTCTTTTGATGTTATTGGTTGTTTGGTGTGGATTAATAATGTAAATGAAAGCTCTCACTGCCTTTTCCACAAATGTCCGGTAAACATAAAAAAGTAAATTTGCTTACCTACAGTTGATGGAAAAAAGACACAGCTGCACGCTTCTCTATTTCTACTTACTTAGATTTAATCTTGCAGCTTCGTGCACCTGGCTGCAGGTACAAGGGGACAGGGAGGGTAAAATGCAAATCTACGTA